CCCCAAAACCCCAAAACCCCAAAACCCCAAAACCCCTACTCACTTTCTAAACTTGATAATTCATATAAAAATTAACAAACATGAACATGAATATAAAAAAGAGGGTGGCAGATTCTACCAGCCTGGCTAGGCCTGGTCAGATTCATAATATCATGAAAACCAATTTCCAACAAATACTTCAATCCAAAAACTTTTTTAAACACCCCAACCGGTGTGACGGCACCTCTGGGGACCCATCCAAGGGCGGCAAAGGTAAGACTTGAGCTAAACCAGAGCTGGATTTCGAGACTGAGGGCTGGAATTCCTGGAAAAAATTGGATGAAATTTTGTATAGAGTCGGTAGAGATTTAAAATGGTTAGAATTATTACCAGTCAGGCTCAACTTCTGAGTTTAACCATTTTTAGACAGTGATCACTGGGATTAGAAATTTATTAAGTAATAGGGATGGGAGACCTGTGATATGATAGGGGAGATTTTAATATGTGAGGATGAGAGAAAGATAGTCCCAGACTAATTTTATGGAATTTTTCTATTGCCTTAGAGCTTAATAATTTCATTGCGCTCTAAATCAATTTATATTGTACTTGGAAGGTGCTATTTTTTAATATGAGAACAACATCATCTAGTAACATGCTAATCCGAAAAGAGGATATCAAGCTGAATGAGGCTGTTCCTGAAACATGATTAGCATCAGTCTCATCCACAACGCAGTCTTGACTTAAGGAGAGTTTTTCACCATCATCTCTTCTCCCTTTACTTTACCCTGGCATCTTGGAGCTCTTAGGCCATTATTATATTTGAGTAAACTAATTCTTCTGAGCTCAAAATTAGGCTTGATCACGAGATACTTCTGTAAAAAGACAGTCAGAGCTTCATTCAGATTTTAGTAAAATTAAGCTAGATTTTAGAGAGTCTAGGCGGTTCATAAATTTAAGCAGAAACTTTTAAAAGAAATTTTATGCTAAAAATAGTGCATTTTAATACTACAATCTATATTTAATAATTGTGCTTCTATAGAGGTGTTTAAGGAAGCTTTCAGTAAGTTTAAGATTGCAACTTGAGAGAAATTATGTAGATATTTTAAAGAAGAATTCCAAAAGAAACTTCACTAAGCTAGATCCTAAGACACGGATACATAATAACAGTGTGAATGTTGAGATAAAAGCTAATTCTCTGGTGTAAGTTCATAAAGATATTTTATCAAGGATATATCTGCAATCAGCACAACATGTATTTTTAATTGCTTCTTGATAAAAAGTATCTAAAATGTTTGAGATCTGATCTTCATTACTTTACTTCGCTACACTATAGACCGCACACAGAAGAAGGGATCGATCGGAAGCATTATTTATTCAGTAAAAAGGTAAAACAGCATGACTGCAATATTATTCCATCAAGTAATGTAAGTTAGAGCCATGAGTACTAAGCAACCTGGATTGAACACCAGTTTCAACTATCTATGATTGCTTATAACGTTGCAAATTATTGTTGGAGTCTATCAAAATTAGGTTCTTTAATTTCTGTGACCAAGAATAGAGGAGCCAGAATCTTCAAACTCTTCAGTTGGCACACCTTTCTCTCCTAAAAACTTTCTGGCATATGCAAGCTGAAACTCAGTATTTTGTTTCTCTTATGCGTCGACATAATTCTTGTGCTCGAGAGTTTCTTTCTCTTCCTAGACAAAATAATATTTGTGTTAAAGAGCATTATTTCTTAGCTTGAGGATTTCTATTTTAGCCTCTAACAACTAAATTCCCTCAATTTTATTGCCTCTCATGGGATTTTATACAGTGTGGGTTATCTTGGAGTTTTAACCTTTCTTGGAACTTTAGGTTTTCTTAGACCTTTTGGTCCCTGGCTTGTATTACGCAGATTACATGAACCCTTTGCGGATTTGAATCTCTCTCAATGTATTTGGTTTTCTCTTAGATATTCAGCATCTGGCATAAAATATCATTCTGAGGTTTTGTACCTTTTCAACAATATATCGATGCTCATGATAAATTTTAGGCTCGAGAGATATCAAATGAGGTGAAATTGCTGAAAACCCAGCATAGGATCAAGAGGAGGCTTCACAATATCAGCCCTGATTGCTCTAACCAACACTTGCCTTCAAGAGATAACTCAATAAATGAAGGCAAAAATGTATCGGATGTTAGGAAAGAAGTTGAGTCCATTAAAGATTTTGATAAGATTAAGTCCAGACGCTATCCTGAAGTTAGCTTTAAACTGGTCAATAACCCAGGGAGCAATCCTAGAGTAAGTTTCATAGCCACCTTTAGAAACCTATTTCAAAGAGGTACATTAATAATACAAAGCTTTACATACAAGAGTATGGGAATGGTACGCTATTGTCACCTCATCATCCTCACACTAAGAAAGATTTAACTCCGATAAAAAATCAGAAGAAATAAAACAGAGTTTAGTACAGATTTTAGGAGCATCAGGAAATCTTCCCCAGATAGTTTCTATAATTACTTCAAAAATAATGCAGAGACTAAGAATTATAAAAATCTTCAAATAAAGCATAAGATCTTTGCTGAAGGGTCTAATTCTGGCAACATTGAGGCTATTCCAAAACCTCTTGTGGATGATACTAATAATATCTCCAGTAATCTCCCAATCTCACATTTCAGATACTAATTCAGACCTGAGACATGAGACTAGAATGAATTCGTTCCTGAACCAGATTTCTAAAAAAGTATGATTTCCTTGGGAATTATAGGGAAAATAAGCACATATCTCTTAACAAAAATTTTAAGAAGGATTTCCAGCAGTACCAGGATAATGGTAGGAATGCTAGTCTAGACTATAGACCTCCGTCTCAGAATTGACGATAAGAACGTTAGCAAGAAAGATATTGAGGATGGAACCCAGAGTTCAATGCGAAGAAAACAGATTGAGAGAAGGAACCTGGTTAAGACAGATAATTTCATCCTTCCAAAGCTTGGAGGGAATTCTCCGTCCACTTCGAGGATAGGGACAAACGAGCAGATAACGGAGAGGTCGGATCATAAAGTCAGTATCATCCCAATGAGGAGTAGGGTAATCATATAATTTTATCAGGCAATCTAAAATCAAATTATTTGGCAGCTTCTGAGGATAAAAGCTTGAAAGGAAATCCTGACAAAGTCAATGGTAAGTATTACTACTGATATTAAGGTGTACTAGATCAACATCTCTCAGATATGCTTTTCAGTTACAAGAAGGGGAAAAATTCAGATTCATCTAGTAGAATGTCTGAAAATCCTTATAATCGGTTCTTGAACCATTCTGAAAGGTCTCATGGCAGAAAACGATACCGAAAGAATGTAAAGTTCAGTAAAGATGTGAAGAAATAGCAGTGGCTTTTCTTGTTCCTAAACATTTTCCTGCTGGTAGAGTTTCAATATGCATTTTATTAATTGGGGTTTTGGGGTTTTGGGGTTTTGGGGTTTTGGGG